AAAGACTGAAATAATTCCATGCATTCTATCCAGACCACAATGCAATGAAGCTTAAAATCAACACCGGAAGAAACCTTAGTAACTACATGAACACGTTGTGATTAAATAACACACTCCTGAATGAAGAAAGGGTCAAGGAGAAATTAAAAAAGAAATAAAATTATTCCTGGAACTAAATGAAAAGAACAATACAACACAACAAAACCTCTGGGACACATTGAAAGCAGTCCTTAGAGGGAAGTTTATAGCTCTAAGTGCCTTCATTAAAAAATCAGAAAGAGCCGTGGTGGTGCCCGCCTTTAATCCCAGCACCTGGGAGGCAGAGGCAGGCGGATCTCTGTGAGCAAGGCCAGCCTGGTCTACATAGTGAGTTCCAGGCCAGCTGGGGCTACAGGGAGACCCTGTCTCAAAAAAGACAAGAAAAAAAAAAAAAAAGTACCAGACTGAAGCTGGGCTTGGTGGCTCACACCTTTAATCCCAGCACTTGGGAGTCAGAGGCAGGCGGATCTTTGTGAGTTCGAGGCCAGTGTGGTCTACATAGTGAGTTCCAGGACAGCTGGGGTTACGGGGAGACCCTGTCTCAAAAAGACAAGAAAAAAGTACCAGACTGGTGGAACTAACCTTCTTGGATGTTTAACAGCCATACTTTGAGGCCTATACTAATTTGGTCAGAGGTACTTAAAAGGACAATTTTTGCTCCTTGCCCTCCAAGGTCAACTAAGTTCCAGGGAACTATGAGCATCTCTCAAAATGTCCTCTAACTGTGGTGAGTCACCTGTCCTCTTGATCAGGAGGCCATGGAGACCCCACCAGATGGACTTGAACCAGTGTCCAATCTACAAAGAGGATCAACACAGAGGAAACATTTCCTCCACGCTTCTAAGTGAAGTCAGCCACAGTCAAGCAGGACCTCTGATTTATCTTCACATAGATGGAACTGGTAAAAGAAAGGATCCAGGGGCTCCTCCCAAGCCCATGTGATCCCTGAGGAACAGATCCTCAAAGGACCTTAAGAATAAAAGTAAATTGGTTTATCTGGGCCAACTGTATGGTCTTAAACACCCAAAAGGAAAGTATAACCAAAGATTAAAGGGATTGATATAATTCTTTAAGAGTCCGTGAGTGTTGGGCACTATTAATCCATTATGTACATTGAGCTGTGGTAGGCTTGTTAGAGTTTGTGTTTTGCACACCAGTACCTGATCTGCCAAGTCAGGAGGAATGCGTTTATGTGGTGGAGTTCACAGCAAGTATTTGACCGCTCCTTGACCCTCAGATACAGGTGGAAAAACAGCTATTGAAACTAATT